GCCATACCAGATCTGAAACTGTATTACAAAATGGTAATTATCAAAACAATCTAGTATTGGCTAAAAAATTGAGTAGTAGATCAGTGGAATATATTAGGTACAAATTACATTATAGTAGATAACCACAGTAATTTAGTATATGATAAACCCAAAGATCCAAGCTTTCGGAACAAAAACTCATAGTTTGACAAAAACTGCTGAAAAACTGGAAAACAGTATGGCAGAAACCAGGTATAGATCAACATCTCACACTGTACACCAAGATAAGGTCAAAATGAGTACATGATTTACATATAAAGGATGATACCATGAGAAAATTAAGAGATCATAGAATAGTTTGTCATCAGATTTATGTATAAGGGAAGAATTTAGGACCAATTGTATAGAATGTATTACAAAATATAAATAGATAATTTTGATGATATAAAATTTAAAAGATTTTGCACAAACAAAACCAATATCACCAGAGTTATAAGGAAAGCCAGAAAACTGGTAGGAAATTTTGCAACAAGTATCTCTGATAAAGGCCTCATTTCTCAAATATATAGAGAACTGAGTCAAATTTATAAAAACGCAAGTCATTCCCCAATTGATAAATGGTCAAAGGAAATGAAAAGGCAGTTTTCAGACAAAGAAATCAAAGCTCTCTATAACCATATAAAAATGCTCTAAGTAACTATTGATTAGAGAAATGCAAATTAAAACAACTTTGAGGTACTACCTCACAACTATCAGATTGGCTAATATGACAGAAAAGGAAAATGTTGGATGTTGGAGGGGATGTGGGAAAACTGGGACACCAATGCACTGTTGGTGGAGTTGTGAATTAATCCAACTATTTTGGAGAACAATTTGCAACAATGCCCAAAGGACTATAAAACTTTTCATACACTTTGATCCAGCAATACCACTACTAAATCTCTAAACCCTAAATCCCCAAAATATATGAAAAAAAGGGAAAAGGACCTATTTGTACAAAAATATTTATCAGTTCTTTTTTATGGTGGCTAGGAATGGGAAATCAAAGAGATGCCCATCAGTTGGAGAATGGCTGAACAAGTTGTGGTATGTAAATGTAATGGAATACTATTGTTCGATAAGAAATGATAGGTTTTCTGAAAAACCTGGAAAGACTTACATGGACTGATGCTGAGGAAGTGAGCAGAACCAGGAGAACATTGTACACAATAACAGCAACACTGTGTGATGACTCATTTTGATAGACTTAGCTCTTCTCAGCAATGAAACAGCCTAAGACAATTTCAAAAGACTCATCATGAAAAGTGCTATCTACATCCAGAAAAAGAACTATGGAGTCGGAATACAGATCAAAACATACTATTTCCCCTTATTTCCCTTTCTTGTGGTTTTTCCTTTTTGTTCTGATTCCTCTTTCACAATGTGACTAATGTGCAAATATGTTTAATATGATTGTACATGTATAACATATCAGATTGCATGCTGTCTTGGATAGAGGGGAGGGAAGTAAAGGGGGAAATTTTAGAACTCAAAATTTTATAATAGTGAATGTTGAAAACTAAAAATAGATAGATGGATAGATAGATAAATTACATGAACTGATGCATAGTGAAGTGAACAGAACCAGAAGAATGTCATATGCAGTAACAGTAATATTGTATGATGAAGAATTGTGAATGATTTAGCTATTCTCAGCAATACAATGATCCAAGATAATCCCAAAAGACTAATGATGAAAAATGCTGTCTGGCTCCAGAGAAAGAATTGATATTGTTTGAATACAGACTGAGGCATTCTATTTTTCACTTTTTTTCTTTGTTCAAGTCTTCTTGTACAAAATTATTAATATCGAAATGTTATACATTATTGCACATGTATAATCTATATCTGATTGCCTATCATATCAGGGAGGGGAAAGGGGAGAAATAGAATTTGGAACTCAAAACTTTAAATAAAAATGTTTTTACAAATGACAAAAAATACAGGGTATTACAAAATTCTCAGTTCATGCTAAGTCTTTTGGTGCCACTAAACCCTTTTGGGAAATCCTATATAAGTGACTAAATTGCTCTGTTGAATTTGGAAGAGGAGACAGCACATAGAAAATATTGTTATTGCTTTGCTAACGTGTCTGTTATTTTTCTAGTGAAAACATAGATTACATGTAAATTTTTATTTAAACATGCTGTTATATTTTGTTTATTTGTTTTTGGTTATTATTATTTTTGTCCATTATTATTTTGTCCATTCTTAAAGAGGATCATGACATCAGGAAGGTGATGTCATGACTTGCAAGTGAATTGGATTTAAGTGAGGGAGGACTGTGCAAAATCACCAGCCTCACTTTCTCCTCCAGAGCCATCTGGGCCCAGTGGCAAGATATAGGTCAAGATGACAGATTATGATAAAAGAAAAAAGAGAACAGAAAAAAAAAACTTTACTTTCAATGTCAATTTGACATAATTGATGCTATTTATATATCAACAAGGAACCAAATGGAGTAAAATGATTTTTTATTTCAAAATAAACAGAAAAAAATTCTTGATTATTGAAAATGAGAAATTAGGAATGTGTCATTTTCACACTTCTAACAAAATATTAGAAAAGGAAAAAAATGTAGAGATAGGAAAGTACTATATATCCTTCAAGAATGCAAATTAATATGTAAAGATGTCAAAGTTGAAATATTAGTATAAACATGTATTGAATCATGTGTTGAAGATCATTTATTTTAGAATCATTTTCTTTGACAATATTCATACAAAAGATCTAATATTTTAGTGATGATGCAAAAGAGACAACCAAATGTGCGCTACATATGTTAATGTGATATGTACTACACAGCTGATGAAACCATAATTTGACAATTCTTCAAATAATCTGTAGACAAATTTCTCAGAGGATTTTTCATCAGATGAAAAATGCACCATTGCTGGGTGAAGAGGTTTATAACTTGGCTCAGTAGATAGCACTTCAAAAGCATCCTTATACTTTGAAGTTGGAAAGATAAGGCATGACAGATAAGGTAGGACAAGTGAATCAAACATGTGGAATGCTAGCATGAAATATTCTGGTATTCTCTGAGTCACTAACTTTTCACAGCTTTAAAGGACCCAATAGATCATCTAGTCAAACCCGGTTGTTTTACAGATGAGAAAATGGAGGCCATCCTTTGAGGAAATAATCAAAAGAAAAATAATCTAACTCCTCACATGTTTCAGAAGAATATGGAACCTTTCCAGAGGCCTCTGAATGTCATAAAAGTTGGCTGATCCCATTTGATCTGCTGCTTTTAGAGAAAGTAGCTTTTGTGTTAGTTCCTATGGCCAAAAAGCATTTAGTCATTTTCTTAGTATGGTATGCTGATGAGTTTCCCCAGAACCATAATTACAATGAAATGAGCTATGGTTCAGGTTATACCTTTGGATGGTAACTTATAGCAGAGAAAGCTACTATGAGAGAGTAACATTAAATTGATATTTCAGATAATTACAAATACATTGCAATGTAATGTAACAGTAATTTTACTCTGATCATTAGAAACTTTAGTAAAGTTAATTTTAGTAAATTGTGAAAGGCAGTATGGTATAATAGATAGAGAAACAACCTCAGAGTCTAGAAGACAACTTGAATTCAAGTCTTATCCATGACTTATAATAGCTATTCATTCGTAAGTAATTTTATTAACCTTTCCAGATCCCAGGAAGTTTTCTTAAGTTGAAAATTATATACTAGTTACTATTCTGTATCATTTAAGGGAATTTCCATAATGAGAGTTCCTCTTTGCTAATGGCAGCATATATCTAGGCAAAAAGAATGGGAAGGGTATTTCTTTTGTTAGAGAGATAGCAGCAGCATCCATCTTCAAGACCACAACTATAGACACATGACCTTGACAAATCACTGAGCGTGTAGATAATTGAACAGATAATGTAAAATTAATAGATAGTTCATTTTTCTATGTAGTTTTAAAGTTCATGAAATGATTACCTCATCACAGCCTTTTGAAGTACACAGTGACAATATTGTCATCCCTAGTTTATACTTGAAGATACTAAAGATCAGAGAGGTTACATAATTTTCCAAATTTACACAACTAATAAGTGACAGAGTCTGAATTCAAATCCAGTATCACTGACTACAAATTCAAGGCTCTCATCAGTATATATCCAGGCCTATCAGATGTAGATATAAGTTTTGTATTGACATGGTGTTATAATTTTGTACCTTGATTTTCCATGTTACATAAATGGAATGCCATGCTTGTTTCAGGCACCTGATGGGTGTAGTAGGTGCATTAGAAGAGCTGGTGTCATGATATGGGACTATAATTCTTGCTATCGGGGAGGCTGAGCCTGGTGGATTACTTAAGCTCAGAAGTTCTGAGCTACAGCATGCTAAGTCAATTGAGTTTCTGCACTAAATCCAACATTAATATGAGAAGCCCCCAAAAATACTGGGTCATCAGGTTGCCTAAGGGGGTGAGTGAGTGGGTAGGTAGGTGGAAGGCTCAATCTGGGCCACATTACAAAAGGAACAGATTAAATCTCCCATGTTGATTTACAGTGAGATTGGCATCATGAAAGTCTCTGTACTTCCAACCTGGGTAAGATAGAGCAGATTCATTCTGAAGAAGAAGGGAAGGAGGAAAAAGAAGAAGAAAAGGAGGAGAAGGAAGATAGGAAGAGGAAGACAGAAAGGAGGAGAGGAAGGAGGGGGAGGAGGAGGAGGAGAAGAAAATACAAAGAAAAGAAAAATACTGAACTAGGAGGTACAGTGCCTGAGTTCTAATCTCAACTCTGCTATTTACTATTTTATAACTTCAAGCAAGTCACTTCATCTGTAATGCTCTTGGTTTCATTTGTAAAATGATCTGTATGGACTAGATTGAAAGGAATCTTCCAGCTCTAGACCTATTTTTTATGATCCTATACATGATATATGAATGATAGCCTTCAATCTTGTATCATCTTTGCTCACTCTTCTTTGAAGTATCATTGGTATATGAATTTTTTCTCTAGGGGCCGTGGAGGTGCAATTCCTCCTCCCCCACCACCTGGACGAGGTGTTCCAGCACCCAGGGGGACAACTGTGACACGTGGTGCTCTTCCAGTACCCCCAGTAGCAAGAGGGGTTCCAACTCCTAGAGCAAGGGGAGCTCCAGCTGTTCCAGGATACCGGCCACCCCCTCCCCCAGCCCATGAGGCCTATGAAGAATATGTAAGTACAGTTAAGGCATTAACCATTCTTATCAGCTAAATTGCTTGAACAATCATGAAATAACTTGGGCTTCAAAGACATTAGAGTTAAGAATAGATCAGTTAATGCCCATACTTGAACCTGATTTGCGTTGCTCAAAGTTTATAGAAGTATATTTGATACAATGGAGTCCAAAAGGTTGTGATTTCAATGATTAAACATTTTAAAATGAGCTTTATTTTTGCAAGTATCCATGTGCTTTTTTTTACTTATTTAAGGTATAATTATCTAAATATTAAGTGCTATATAGTATACCAAGATTCTCATTATGTAGCTTCCACAAGAACCTAATGTTTCAAAGTGGAAACAATGATTCAAGGCATAAATGCAAAGCATTCTCTTCTCTTCTCTTCTCTTCTCTTCTCTTCTCTTCTCTCTTTTCTCTCTGTCTCTTTCTCTCTCTCTCCTCTTTCTTTTTTGTCTCTCTCCCCTTGCTCTGTCACTGTCTCTGTGTTTCTCTCAGAAATGTATAAAAAACAAGACTCTAGCATGTGGTAGAAATGTAATAGAAACATATTAATATGTTCATTTACATGACTGATTCTCTATTTAAATGCCCTTAATAGTTTTGCCCCTATTTATTCATAGATCAGAAGAAGCTTTAACATTCTTTTGGGTGAAAGTTTAGTTTATATGTAAATAATGCTACAGGTGATTTTTTACAGTAAGAAAATCCTTGATTTTCTATTGCTTTCCAGAAAGTAAAAATTTCACAAAGATCCAAATGATAGGAAATCCACATTCCATTACTCTAACCCATTTGAAGGAGGTGTTTGTATTAGATGCTATGTGAGAGCTTTTGAAAGAAACAGGAAAGCTGTTTTGAGTCCATACTTTGAGAATATTTCTTAGATAACAGTGGTCTTCCAGACATCTCTCATACTGCTTCAACACTGTATAATAGCCTTTATTTTCTGCCAATTCTCCCATAGATTCTTCATTTCAACTGGATAACGTATCTAACCATTCTCCAAGAGAAAAAATAGTTTTCTCTGAGAACTTCCTCTAATAACTTTAAAAAAAATTTAAAAATAGAACTTTTTCATTCACTGATCCTCCCTCAAAACATTACAAATAAAGTTTACTTTGTCCGTGCAGGTGTCCTGAATTAAAAATGATACAGATAATTTTTTTTGCTACTTCTTTTAACCTCTGTACTTCTTTTATCTCACCTAACACCATGTATACATTTATACATAAAATAACTGACATTTATATGGTGCTTTAAAGTTTTCAAAGCACTTTTCCTACAGCATTTACTTTGTTCTCCCAACAACTACGTGCGGTAAGGAATAAAGTATTATCATGCTCATTTTACACAGGAGTCTCAGAGAAGCAGCTGATGGTTCAGTGGACACACTGGGCACGAAATCAGGAAGGATTGCATTCAAATCTGGCCTCATGTACCTCTTAGCTTTCTTACCCTTGGTAGGTCACTTAATCCATGTTTGCCTCAGTTTCCTCAACTATAAAATAATACTAAAAGCACCTGTCTTGCAGGGTTGTTGTTAGTATCAAGTAAGATATTTGTAAAAAGTGCTTTGCACAGTTCCTGGTATACAGTAGGTACTACATAAATATTTATTTTTTCCCCTTCTCTGACTTGCCTAGGGTCACATAACCAGTAATTGTCTGGTGTGAACCAAGTTCTTCCTGATACCAAATCCAGAACTCTATTCACAACATTACACTCTTTATATTACTGATAACACATAATCTGTACTACCTACTGTGTATGGATGCTCACAGTACATTTATTATAAATATTTATTATAATAACTCAGTATAATATTTACAAAGCACTTTCCTCATAATAGTCCCCTGAGGTAAAAAGTAGCTATATTTCACAAACGAAAAAAAAAAAAAACCAGATAAGCAGATTGGTTAATGCCCTTGTTCAGGATCACCTTCTTAGTGAATGTCAGAGGTAGAATTGAAACATATAATCAAACTCTAATTTCTGAATTCTTTCAACTATATTTATATTTATTAATATTAAAGCACAATATTAATCTAACATAGGAGTTGGCAAACTACCACCCACAGACCAAATCCATTCCATTTCTTGCATTGGTATGACTTAAAAATTGGAATAACTTATCAGGTTATACACTTAACAGGTTATACAAAAACAGACAGTAGGCCAGATTTGACTCTGAAGCTGTAGTTTGTTGACATCTGATTTAATATATAAAAATAAAACATTAGCTAATGTTAATAGCTATAGTATCTTTAAAAATCAGATCCTCTTTACATTTTATTTAGAAACGGTAAAAAGTTTACTAATAAAAGTAAGGTTGTATTCTTCAATACCAAGTATCAGTGAATGAAATTATTTTATTGATCCTGGTACCCTACAAAATAAAATGAAAGCTATGTGAAATATGTGTGCATGTGTATATACATCTATATATACATAGATGCATGCAAATATTTATAAATTTGAATATATATAATAAAATAAGAAATTAGCTTTATATTCAAAACAAACAGAAAATTGTAATGAAAAGGTTTTCTCATTGTTCACCCCTTTTACTGGTGCTTTGTCTCTAGGTGTGATATTTATAAGTTGTATTTATAATAAACATTTACCTTGTTTCTAATAGTTTCTGTCATGATATGCTTTATTGAGAGATCCATTAAAATAATGGATATCTTCTCATGTTTTAATAACCCCTACAGAATCTTCACTGTCATGTGTATAGTAGTATATCAATTGTTGTTAGAGGATCATTAATCACTGAAAACAGTAACTATCATTTGTGCTAAAGGGGGACCAGAGAGTACAGATATTAATAAAATATACTTGCCTCCCCCATAAAAAAAAATCAGAGGGGAAGGAAGGTCTGATCAGATATCCCTACATACTTAGCAATTGGAAAAAATTCTTGAGGTAAACCATGTAGCAATTCAGAATAAAATGCCAAGAATTCTTGACTACTAGGTCTATTCTTAGATTATTGATCTGTCTGTAAGAAGTAAGAAAAACAAAAGTTTACACATCTCAATCACAAAATAATATCAATATACTGAGTTGACCACAAAATCTCTCAGGTGTCTTTTATTTTACAATGAAGTCTTTAGGAAATGTCCTTTAATTTTAACTGACACCACCAACCAACTCTCATCTTAGATTTGACATTCTCCTCTTCTGGGCCTCAGAATTAAGGTTCTGGGGGCAGCTAAATGGCACAGTGGATAGAGCACCGACCCTGAAGTCAGGAGGACCTGAGTTCAAATCCGGACTCAGACACCTAACACTCACTAGCTATGTGACTCTGGGCAAGTCACTTCACCCCAATTGCCTCATCAAAAAACAAACAAACAAAAAACATAATTAAGGTTTTGACCACATAGCAGGTATATAAATAATCAAATCCATTGCTTGCCTGGCAAGAAAGTATTTTACTGTAAATGGGGCTTTTTGAAAAATGAGTTTAGTGTTTAGCTGAGTCTCAAAAAATGTGAAATTTGGTTTGAATCAATTAGACTTAACAAACATTTAAAAACACCTATTCAGCATATGGTAATATGCTAAGTGCCAGGTAATTTAAAGGTGAATAATTACGTAGTATATAGTTGCTATGTCAAAGAGATTTCAATTTAGGACATAAATATTATACTGGTTAAACTGAGAAAGGAACATATGAGAAGCCAGTAAGACATGAGAGTTTGGGGGAGTGAGGATCTTGTCTAGGCGGGGTGATCATAGGAGTCCTCATGAAGGATTGAATTCCCAAGGTATGCTGTGAAATAGGAAAATGATTTTTTTTTAAAGTGATTCAAGTGTGCTGGATCAGGAGCCTGGAGGGAAGAGGATGTGGAAAGAAAACATTCTAGTGATAAATGATGACATATACAAATACACAAAGTGGGATAAAGCAGGACAATGTCCAGAATGACTAGAAGTCTATTATGGCTGGAATGTAGACTAAAGAAAGTTGATCATATAAAATAAATCTAGAGTTTAGTTAAAGCCAAACCTTAGAGATGATTTATGGTAGGACAAAGTATAAGCTAAAAACACAGGCCGCATTATTGTGCATGGTACATTTGGAAAACAATGATAATTACATTTTGATTGGGATAGAGAGTTTGGATAAAGCAATATTTGAAGCTTGAGGTAAGTTTAAGGACAGGTCATCTCGGGATATTTCGTTGACTTGAACAGTGGCATATATGGCATATTTATCAAATTTGCAGATGACATAAAGCTGGTAGAGAAATTTAACACATCAGACTATAGAATCAAGATCTAAAAAGATCTTGGTATTTCTGAGATTCTTTCTAACTTTGAGTGTCTGTAATACTCTGTGAATAAAATAATAAATGTTAATAAGATGAAATTTAATAGAGATACATATAAACTCTTGCTTGGGTTAAAAAATTAATTTCACAAGTAAAAAATGATATAGGGATGACTAGACAACAGTTAGCCTAATAAACATTTGGGCATTTAGTGGATTGTTAAAAACCAATCTGAGTCAACAGCGTCTTATAGCAACCAAAAAAGGAATATTTTTTGGGTAATTAATTAGCCTTTATTTTTTCTGTACATACAAGTAAATTTTGTTCTTTTTTTAAATTTTCAACATTCACTTTTATAAGATATTGAGTTTCAAATTTTTCTCCCTTTTGCTCCTCCCCCACTCCTCTCACTGCCCCAAAATGGCAATCCCTCTGATATAAGCTATACATGTATAATCATATTAAGCATATTTCCACCTTAGTCATATCGTCAAAGAAGAATCAGAACACAAGGGGAGATGGGGGGCGGAGAGAGAAAGAGAATAGCATGCTTCAATCTGCATTCAGGCTTCATAGTTCTTCCTCTAGATGGGGATAGAATTTTCTATCTTGAGTCTTTTGGAATTGTCATAGAACATTGTATTGCTGAGAAGAGCTAAGTCTATCAACGTTAGCCATCGCACAATGTGGCTGTTACTGTGTACAACGTTCAC